ATGAAAAGTGATTAAGTTTGTTTAAAAATAGGTTTAGATAAGAAATCATCTATCTTTTTGATTATCCTATAAGATAATTATTTTATTTTTCACTACAATAAGTTTATCTGCTAAAATCATTAGTTTATTGTCAATATCATTTAAATATTTCAAAATATCTCTTAAGATTGATATAATGTTTGCAGGAAACTGTTGCTAAATTGAAATTTTAGAATAATTTTCAAAATGTTTATATATAAACCATAATTTTAATATATATATTTAAATTATTATCATATGAACAATTCTTAAAGGTTGATAAAAAGCTGATTTGAAATAGTTATATAATTAGTAGTATGAGTTTGATATTTTTGAGAGTAAATAATCTTTAGCTTTATGAGCAAAATTATCATATTAGTAATAGTATGATATAGCTGGATTAACTAATAGAGAATATTTGATTTGAATTTATAATAAAAGTTAAGAGTAACATCATAATCGTCTTGATTATCAAAATTAATATAAGTGTAAAAGTGGTTATAATTTTAAAAATCATGTGAGATAAAACAGGATTTGGTTATGATATTAGCTAAAAAATTTAGTAGATTTCATTAAATCATGTTAAAGGGTAAACTAATTAACTTAAATTCAAATTATTATCTTAAGATTAATTGTAAAATATTAAGTTTTGTAAGTTCAAATTTGATAGTAAAATCAAGTAAAAGTAAAGATTATACATTTTTATAAAATGATTAATAATATCAGATAATTTGTAAACTATAAATGCAATTTATTAAAAGCCTCTAATGATCATTGAAAATCTTAAAATAGTTTCACATTATTAAAAAAATTTTCATACTATATCTGATTTAATAAAAGAAATGTTATTGATTTAATGTTCCTTTTTTTAGCATTGATTCTTTATTTTTTAACTATTAGTTAGCAATCACAAATCTTAATTTTATTTACTATATGAATAAGCTGATCAAAGGAGTGAAATATACAAAGAATTTTTTAATTTTAAAGTTGTATAAAGTATTAGAATTCTAGAAAGTTAACAAATTGTCTATTAATAAAATTTCATTTATCTGCATGGATTTTTTAGTGATATCTGCAGTATTATCAGATACAAAAAATACTTTAGGAAAGTGATTATATTAAAAGAAATATCTTTCATGTTTTGTTTATATGATTGATTAGATTTGTTTTTGTTGTTTTTAACTTGATCAGCCTAAGAAATTTGTTTGTTTTTACTTTTGCTAATTAAAGAAGATAATGAGACTGACTTGCTATTTATCAAGTTTTTCTTGGCATATATAGAGTTATTGATACTGAAGCCTTAAGGTGAGACTGATAGAGTCTTTTTAATAAAATCTATTTCCATTTTGTAAACTAAAATAATAAATTGTGACTGAGTAGTATCTGATAAATTTTGTGTTTTAGCTAATGTGTATTTAAGAGTTTTGGGAGTTTCTGTTTCAATTGAGATATTAACTGTATTTGAAGTTTCAGTTTTCTGTCTTTTTGCATTTTGAAAAATATTTTCTTCATTAAGATTTTTACCATTGTCTGTAAAAGACGAGGCAGTTGTTTCTTTCTTGTTTTCAGAGGAGCTAGAAGTATTTTTGTTGTAAGGTTTGGGTGTTTTACCATAGTTGCTTTTTCTTCTTGTTATTGGTAACATTTTGAAAAAAGATTGGCAGAAAGAGTTTTTTTTTTATCAAAAATAAATCAAATAAATCAAATAATATATTATCAGATAAATTTTAGCAAATGGTAAATTTGATAATAAAATTTTGGAACGTAGCATTGAAGTCTGGCTGCTTATATGTTAGATTTATGTTTTTATAAAGATAGATTTAAAGGCATTGGATGATATTCTTCACCAAATGATAATGAAAATAATTTGAACTTCAGCAATTTTGTTATTTAATTCCTAATATCATCGGCAGCTGCAGAGAGAAATTTTCACTTTTGGATTGATTAATTGCAAAATCCGAAATCGATTACGTAATGCGCGTTAAAAAAGTTGGTGGAAAATTTCCGGATGATGAATTCCAAAAAATAAAGTTATGTATAAAGGCAAGATGATAATAATGAAGGTAGCAAGGTCGGTTGAGAAATTTTTGGAGCGGCATGGTACTATGCGAGGGATGGGCTCCTGTGAGTATCAGCTTCGGCTGTAGTTTCCTGGAATACTATTTATATCAATAGTATTCAATAAAATTTATATTTTAAATGAAATTGTTAAAGTTATGATCATTTGGAATATTCTGATTTTTGACAAGTATAAATCGTAAATAAATAAAAAGTTAAATAGATCTTTAAAATTTGAGTTGAGAAAAATCATTCATATATTGGTTTTATTTTTCCTAAATTATTGACCTTTTTTTATATATGATATAACTATATTAGAGATCCAACTCATTAATTCAATTACCCATCGTTGATGTAAATAATAAATAAACCATTTTTTATTTGAACTATTTATGTAATTTATAATGGAATGCTCGTAAATTATTTAATTTTATCGCTTTTTTCTCCCTTTGTTTTTTCCTCGTCTAGCTTCATTTGGATTTCTACGACCATAACCAATAACTGGTGTATTAGATTTTGAAAGATTTGATCCGATTAAGAGTCTTGGAATATAATCAGGATCAAAAATATCAATTTCCTTTTGTCTTCTTTGATCTTTTAATGCCTTTTGATATTCTTTTTGATCTTCACGAAGAATAAGATTCTTGACATGACGACTACTTTTTGGATTTGGTATTGAATACTTTAAGTGAAATAAATAATGATTAGTTAGTATCTCAGGTATATAAATTGTTATATATATATATATATATAAAAGCAATAACAATCCTTAAAGGAAATTCAATTCACCTTGCTTCCGCGTAAATTGTATTGAAAATTCTTTTTCAAGTAATAAATCACGTTACCATTCGCGTCCGTACTCGTAGATGTACGAATTAAAGTTGCATTTCCACAATTAGGACAAAATTGTTTCTCCATATTTGTAGTTATCCTAAGGAAACAAAATGTTCAGTTGAATTCAATATCTCATTCACAAGCCAAGATAACATCAAAAAATTACTTGTAACACGCGTGGCATCGAAGAACCCAGTTCTTCACCTTTCTGATCCTCTTTCCGTCAACCGATATCAAATTTAACCGCATTTGTAACAGAACATTCTTATAAATATTAAGTAAAAAAAAAAAAAAATTTTAACAATACTTTCGGAATTTTAGAATTAGTTCATTTAAATTATAAAGCGTTAAATTTAACATACTTGCATAGAATAATCTGTCGTCATACAAGCAATTTTCATATTTTCATCATCTTTTTTTAAATTGAAAACAAACTTTTGTTCTTTTGCTTGATATTCATCAATGTTATCCGGGGTGATCCATCCAATATCATCGTCATCATAATCAACTTGCCGACCTAAAACTTCCAAAGAATCATTCGTTTTTTGATTTTTAGATGTTTGATCTGAATTTTTTATTTTATTAAAATTATTATCATTCTTTTCGGTGTCACTTTCTACAGTTACTCCATCATCTCCCATAACCAAATCACTCTCGTCTCTTTCTGAACTAGGTGCCTCAACTAAGGTGTCTTGGAGTTGTAAATGTTCTAGATTTGACACTAAATTCGCTTCATCAATTTGCTGATCGACAATTATACGTTTTTCTTCGGATTTCGTTTTGGGATCTTTGGTGGAATTTTTATTATCACCACCCAACTGCGTACGAGACTTCAAAGATAAAATTTTTAATAAATTCATAAATAATTCAAATTAAATATTTTTGTTTTTTTTAAAAAAAACGGATAATTTACTAATTTTACTAACGAATTTATTAAAAATTTATGATATTTACTTTTACAGGTTCTTTTCTTAACCGTTCAGTACCATTGGCTTCAACCTCAAGCATATAAGTTAAGGCCAAAACCCTTAGATCAACAGCAGACAAACTAGTAAAATCTCCGGTCTTTTTTGAAAAATTAACAACTATTAATAAGTTAAATAATAAAATTAATAATCTGAAGAGTGATTGAATTTTATTAAGAAATTTGAAACCTGCCCTCTTTCAATGCTTCATCTGATGGTACTTTAACTTGAATATCGAATGAGATTTGATTCAAAAAATCACGAGAACGTTTATCTCGAATTTCGGATATGACCTCAGGAACAGTATAAAGTTTTTCAGCAAATGAACGAATACTTGTTCCTTTAATTAAAGGACCAGAATCTACTACCAAACATTCAACTTTTTGCCCTTTATTATAATCAGGACTACATTTCTTCTCGGAAGTATTCGTTGATAAGGATTTTGTAGAAATGGATTCTGTGGAAATGGTAGAAATGGACATTATTTTAAAGGATAGGTTAAAAAGATCTAGTGCGCAGCTAAATTTGTTAAATTTTTTAGGTGACACGATATTATTATCGCAACATCTAATTGGTTGATACTTAAAAAAAAAAATTTATTGCTGTTTAAAATATTATTTAATCAATCAGCAGTTTGGGTGATTTCTAGTTTAATGCATTGTGTATAATTTGTCATTAAGTGAATAAATTAACCACTATCCTAATCTAAAATTTCTAATATTATAAAGCAAATATAAAATATTACAACACTTTTTTTTTTCAAAGATTAAAAACATTAAAAATATATATATATATTAAAACAAATAATTTTGTGTTTCTAAGATTCATATGCAGGTAAAGTTTTTACAAATTTGTCAACTGCCGCCTTAAAATATTCATTATTAACACCTTCACCTCCGAGATGCTCCGTAGGTGACAAAGGATTTTTTACAACATATTCAACATAAAAGTTTGTATAAATCTGTCTTAGTATTTGTCGAAGAGAATCTATACCAGGATCAGTATTCATCACAAATTTCAATCCTGTTGGAGTCTCATAATAATGAAGCTTATAGTTCGATGTTTTATATGCTAAAAATCCGTCTTGACTAAAAGAATAAATTTTGTGAAAGAAATTAGTAATCTTATTTCAAGTGTCAATGGAAAGTTTTATGATCAAGTTGTTCTCGATTAAATCACAAGATCACACCCTTTCAAATATTCACTTACCTTCCACTGAGCTTCTTAACAAAATTTCTTAAAGAAAACACGACACCATAAACTAATTTGGCCTCTTCCTCGATGTTGATCATTCGACCTTCTGAGAAAATGCTTGTTAAACTGGTAAGTTGTGAAGTTGTAGAATGATGGCTGGTAAGATGATTCGCCGCTGAACTATGAGCAGGTGAGGAGGAGGAGCCACCTGAATCACCATCTATTTGACCATTCATGCTAGTGGTTGTGCTTGTGGTGCCAATGGCACTATTAACACCACCTCCGCCGCTTCCTGCACCACTTTTACGATGTCGGTGCCAATCTTGATAATAAATACACACACAATGACGATCAAATATGTACATATTATAAATCATTATGTTTTGATTAAAGAAGAGATCTGTTCAGAGAAGTTGCGTCAAGAAAATCGCAACATGTTTCGAAAAAATTATATTAAAATCGAGTTACACCAATGATGGTTTCTGATTGGATGTCGTAACAAGAAATGTTCATCTACCTCAATTATTGTGTTTATTGATCGTGTGATAAGTGATTTAAAATCAAGTAATCAATTCTTTGTTGAAATTGACCATATACCATTTTTGATTTATTTTCTATTTTGATTGGATGTTCATTAATAATCAAACCGGGGTGTTCAATAATACCCCATATATTTATTTAAAATCAAATTAAAAACATCAGCCAGCAAAGAAACAAAGGAAGATAAGCTATTATACTCATACTACAGTCCTAAAAACCAAACCCAACACTACGAGCTCCTTCTTGCCAGTAGATTTATTAAGATCTAGTTAGCTGCACGGATCTCTACCACTCCACGAAATCCCTTTTTTCCAGTAATTTGCTTTTCGGTACCGTCCCTGTCCTACTTGTTGTCTCCTTTTTTTTTGCCTAAACATTTTAAACACGCAACGAGAAAAAAAAAAAAAATAAACACTGAAATGTACCTTTGCAATGCAAGTCATATTAGCCCACTCCTAACACTCACACCCCCAACACTTTTCCTTTTTCAGTGTCCCTAGTTACAACATTACCAATCCCCCAACTACCAGAATGTCTGACCGAGGTGAAGAAGTTGTACACTCCCCTGTTGAGCGTAAAAGGTCGCTTCCGTCTGATGACGAAGACGACGACCTAAGTGCTGACGAAAGAGGAGGACGTTTCAAACGTCCTGCTTTAAATACTTCTGGTGGAGAGGACGATAACTCTTCAGAATTAGACTATAACGATGAACCAACTGGTGAAATACGTCCGGTAACCCCGTCAGAGCCTAGTGACATTATGGAGGTAAATGTTCGCTCTCCTACAGCGCCCGAGAAAGAAAAGGTCGAAACAGAGTCTACACTTGCCACTATTTCACTTCGTGCTCTTGTAACAACTAAAGAAGCTGGTGTCATCATTGGGAAAGGTGGAAAGAATGTGAGTGAAATTCGTGACAGATCTGGTGCTAAAGTGACCATATCTGAAATGGTACAAGGAGCCTACGAAAGAATCTTAACCGTTACGGGTCCTTTGGACACTGTTGCAAAGGTATGTCTTGTAGTAAAAGTTATGCTAACATCAAATTTTGCTTTGACGATATCATTGTTACAAGTAATGTTCGATTAGAAGATGAAATTCTGTGAATTATATAACCTTTTTAGTAGATTTTTATTTATTTTTATTTTTATTATTTATTTTTTGCCACAATTCTAATTTATTCACATAATGAATGTTTTGAAATAAATAATAAATTAATGAAATTTTTTTTTAAGGCATTTGCTCTTGTCGCTCGTAAAATCTTGGATGAGAATTTGGATACACCATCTACACCAACTTCTAAATCCACTACAATCAGACTTCTAGTACCTCATTCTCGGATGGGACCCGTGATAGGTAAAGGTGGATGTAAAATCAAGGAAATTCAAGAGAAATCCGGGGCTAGATGTCTCGCTTCTGAAGAAATGCTTCCTCAATCAACGGAACGTACCATTTCTATCAGCGGTGTTCCGGATTCCATCCATATTGCAGTTTTTCATGTTGGGGAAGAATTGGCTAAACATCAAAATGATAGACCTTCAGGAATCACTCCTTACCGACCTCAACCACGACTTCTTTATCATCAGACAGCTCCCGTTGCTGGTAATCCATTCTATGTTGGACTTCCACCAGGTCCCCCACATTATGGGCGTGAATTTATGCCTGGACCTCCGGGACCAATTAATCATCAACCACCGCCAGGGTCTCAGGCCCAACAGATTTTCATTCCTAATGATATGGTGGGTTGTATTATTGGTAAAGGCGGAAGTAAAATTAATGAGATTAGGCATCTCTCTGGTTCGCACATTAAAATTGCCGAACCTCATGGTAATACCAACGAGAGATTAGTTACTATTACGGGAACTCCAGAGTCTAATCAAATGGCTCTTTATTTGCTGTATAGCAGACTTGAATCCGAAAGAAGGAAACCAAGTGTGTAAGCTTAAGATAGCATTTATTTTCTTATGTTTATTTTAGAAAAGGGCCTACGGGCAAATTTTCTTAATCAAATTCCTTTCTAATAACATATTGTGACTTTTTATAAGTCCCATGAAGGGAAAAGCTGGTTGAAAAGATATGGTTTTTCCTCACATGTGACGTCCATGAAATGCATGGAGTGGTGAACCAAAAAAAATACAAATGAACATTTTTTCTTATATGATATCAAAAAAGTTACGATGCCAGGTTTTTTCATAGTATTATTTTTTTTTATATTCGATTTTATTAAATTCGTTATTCTTTTTTATTGTGATTTTTTTTTTTTTTGATGAAATTTTTTTTTTTTTATCTTATTTTATCACGTTTTTAAAAATTAAAAAAAAAAATTTGATATGTTTACTTAATACAAGTCTGATAAAAAGGGATACGATTTTATCCAACGAATTAAATAAATGTCAATATAAGTGACAAAAAAAAAAAAAAAAATTCTCGTGTTTGTTTTACTATGAAGTCTTACATCATAATAGTGTTTTGAGAAAAATAATATTTTTTTTTTATTTTTGGCACGATTTTAGAAATTTGGCGCGAACGCACTCCTTATGCTCCCCAGTTTCAAATTTGATCTTAATATAGGCCTCTTGTAAATTCCGGTAAAAGTAAAAATTTAGCTAGACCCGGCAAAATATTACCAAAATTGATCTTGAATCAAATGTCACATGGCATCATTCTTTATTCATTATTCTTTTTTTAAATGAAATGAGTATCGTTACACTAAAAGTACAAGTATGATAGATACGATAAATGGGAATGATCAAAGCGTTTCTTTTTTCTTTTTTTTTTTATTTATTTATGTTTATTTTGTGCGTCAAATGTGCGGAGAAGATTATTATTAATATGTTTTTTTTTAATATTATTATAGTATTTATCAATGAGATTTGAAAAGGAGACAAAAAGGAAAGGTCTTGCATCATGATGCCATCAAATAAAAACATTCATTGACATTGGCCAAAGATCAACACAAACAAATCACACATAATGCAGCAGCTAATTATATAAGAAGAATAAAGGCGACATTTATCACGTGTCCAGTCGGTGTGGTGGGTATTTTTTTTTTTTTACTTTTCCACAAACACCTGGTTAGAATTCGCGGGTTAGAACGGTGTAAAAACAATGTAGTATTTATTCTTTAAATTTATGATATATGAACATTAATTACGTTTAATTAGTTGTAATAAAATTATTAAGAATGGCCTTATCAACATAACATTAGCCAATGCTCCATGTAAGAAAGTTTTATTATGTAAAATTACTTTCTTTTTTTTTTTTTTTTTTAAAAAAAAAAATTCCTCATAACGAGAAATTTTCATTTATCACGAGATCGTTTTGAACATACTTTTCTCTAATCATCATAGCCTGAATTAAATCCCCCCATGATAATATAATCTGACAGGAAGAACATTTTCCACCAATCGGTAGGATCTCTTCATCCAATTCATCATAAGGATTTTGCAAAGTTGCCATTTCCAAGGCTTCAGATTTGGTAAATTTTTTTGCGAGGCACGTTAGGTGTGAGGACATGTTACATTCCATGTTTAAACAATTCAAATAATTCTTATGATCATCGAGATTAATATTTTCTAAACATAAATCACAGAATAATTTCATCTTTGTGTGATTCAAATATTTCGAGTACTCGTTCCTCACACATTTTCTAATCGATCCTTTATGATAATCACTAAACTCTTCTACTTTTCCGTGAGTAATCCTAATTTTCTTTGGTAAATTCGTTACGTCAAGTATCGTAGAAGCATTGATCCTTTTTTGTAAAGTAATCAACTTGAGCGGTACCATGATATGTAAATGTAACGGCCACCTTGACCAAAATTTGTCTCGCAACATTTTTGAAATGGCACGAAGCGATGTTGATAATCTATCATCATTCTCACGAAATTCATCATCGGACGTTAAGTGTAATCGACGCGTTTTTGAAGGATTTTGCCAACTCCACTCGAATTGTAACGCTGCCGTATGATTTGTGAACCCATAGACGAAAAGAATCATCTCCCATGGTCTTTTACTTTCGGTTTTTTTGGCCCCTAAAGCTATCTCACCATTATGTTGACGTAACCGTCGTTTTGGATCATTGGTAGACCCTATATAACAGGTCTGTCTATGGTTAGGTGCAAGTGAACGCAAAAGATAACAACAATAAAACTCCTCATATTTTGATTCCGGTGTTCCAGTGTTATTTTCGTTTTCTGTCAAGGTCATGTTCATGGTCATGGTCGGGTCAAACGTTATAGTTTACGCGTTCCCTTTATTTAGTTATCAAAAAGAGTGTGTTGTTATTAAAAGAGTGTTTTGAGTACGCGTTTTTTTTTTTTCTTTTTTGTGGTAAAAAAAAAAAAAAAAGTGGTGTTTTCAGAAGTGTTTATGAAGAATCTGACATGTATTTATTTTTATAAATTAAAAAAATAACGATTCACAAAATGATCGCCAAAAAGAGTATTTCTCTTTTTTCATTTTTCATTTTTTTTTTTTTTATTTTATATGTATATGCATATAAATTTTTTTTAACATGTTGCCACAAGCAGATATTTGATAAAATAAAACAAAAAATTTTTTACACGAGGGGAAAAAAAAAATTTACAGAGAAATTTTTGAAATGCAGAAAAGAAAAAAAAAAAAAAAAAAGGTGAGAAAGTATAACAATCGAAATACTTTCTCCAAATATTGTTCATATCGCAAAATGTATAGAAGCAGCAAAAAAAAAAAAAAAAAAAAGTAAAAATAAAAGTACATATAGCACTCTTAATTGTATACATTAAGGATATTTTTTATATTAACGTCTATCAAATTTTTTTACTTCTATTCATTGTCGCTGCTGCCA